CAGCAGTCAGTGCATTTACTTACATATCAGAGCAATGCAAAAAAAAAACAAAAAAAAAAAAAAACAAAAAACAAAAAACAAACCAAAACCAGGCTGTAACTTAGTGTTTTAGAGTTTTAATGTTTTAGAGAAGGAGGAGAATAAAATAGGAAGAAAAATAAATATTAAAAGCAGAGAAGGAAAATCTTTTAGGATACTTTTAAGATGTAGTGTTGACTGTGATCTCTGATTACCTAAAGTTTCTAGAAGGTATAACCAACAAGACATGATTTGGAGAATTTCTTCATTGTGCCCAATTAATTTGGTCCTGATAAAATTAATTTATAAAATAGATCAAGAAAATCTTAGTGCTCAAATTCACCTTCCAACAAAGCTACAATTTAATTTAGTTATGGCCATGTTATTTTGCTGCTTTTCCACCCCTGTTAAGAGGGATTTAATTCCTGAAAGACAGGACTACAGAAACACCCACCCACTGAATGATATAAGGGCCTACAGTAACAGTTTGAACTGAGGTTGAAACTGCAACCTGATATGTGAAGGTTTTTGAACTCCATGAGTTCATCAGTCCTCTAAAAATTTTAGTTTTCTTAAAATATTTGTTTTAAGTGCAAAGTTATGTTTGTAATGCCTACTGAATTTAACAATCTGTGTTACAGTGTATGCTCTGCTTCTATTACTGGGTCTGCTGCCTTCAGTGTATGGCAAAAAATATAAAATATCTAAATTGTGCATTTGTGTTCTTAATCAATGTGTACAATTGATAATATTGATCATTGCTGATAAATATTAAAGCTGTAAAAAGCATTCCTAATATTGAGGGGGGGTGTCAAAATTCTCATGAATGAGGTAGAGTGGCCTGTCAAAACATAATTTTCTGTTCTTGACATTGGATGATTTTTTGGGGCTTTTGCTGTGGGGAAAAAATGGTGCCTCAAAGGTAAGGGGATTTTTTTGTTCTTGTCGAAGCTGTTAATTTTCATCTAGCTGGAGCAATAGAATGCTTTTCTGTTTAATATGGATTTATAGGAGGCAAGGGACTAGAGATGAGGGAGATGACTTAGGATTCAAAACATTGCAAATGTTTGGCAGGTTTTTTTTAGAGGAAAGGAAAAATCTCTGGAGACCTTTGTTTTCTAAGGAACAATATTACAAAATCCATAGTTACACAATATAAATTGGCAAATGAAAGAAAAGATTAATGATTCTGGCAGCTGACTTTAACTGGCATATTATCTCAACTTTCTTTTTAATAATAGGAAAGACACTTTTCTTCCTTAAAACAAAAAGGGGGGGGTGGGGGGGGTAAGAACCCCAAGAAATTTCATCCCAACATTTACATATTGATATTTTGAAAGAAACTATGTTTATTTTTATATTTTCTGACTTCTAATTATGTAGGCAAGGGACGTCACTCATGCAATGATACTTAAAAAAAAACCCAAAAACAAAACCAAAACCAACCAAAAAACCTGAAGAAATCAATGTAAAGTTATAGTGCAGAGAGGACCCTCAACAAAATATGTTTGTAGAAAATGATACGCTTCTTAGGATACTGTGCATATTAATTTTGCTCACAGCCTTATGCTATCTCAATAACCAGGATGCTAGTTCCATTTCAATTTATATAATTCTGTGTATGACTTTGGTATTCTGTTTTAAGACTATCTCTCGTTACTGCTTTCAGATGTTGAAAGCATAAAGAAAATATGTACAAACCCTTTTCATCTTTATAAAACAAAACAGGAATATGACAATTCATATGATTAGCTTTTCCAGTAAGCAAGTACTGGTACCTATATACTGTACTCCTCTATGGAGTCATCAATCCAGGATCAACACTCAACAGGCTTATAAACCTGCCAACTCAGTTTGGCTTTAAATATAGCTCATGTCAGATTTAAAGTAGTAAGAGGCACATATAGTATTTTTTTCCATTTTTTACCTTCTTTCATTTGGTAAACTATGCACAGTTGAAAAAAGGTGACTTTAATCAGACTAAAATGTACCTTAGCAGCTTCTGCCTGACTCAGACCTGCTTCTGAAACACAACTGCTTCAGAAAACTAACACAGTACCAACACTAAGACAACCTGTTCTTAATCTCAAAAGTACATAAACGATGCTTAACAATTTATAAAGCCAAACCCAAATAATCGAGAATATCCAGGTTTGAACTTCAACCAAAATAAAACTTTAAAAAAAAGGAAAAATCTGTTAAACAGTAGAGAATCTCGCTTGCACAATTGTAGAAACATTTTTTTTCTGCTTTTAAATCCACATTGAAACAAATCTTTACTCTTGCAGGTGATTAGGTTTGCTGTATGGGGAAACCAGATGCGTGTATGTTTGTGCGTGTTCACCATTTCTCAGAAAGGTCAGCCAGGGCACGTCTGTACCTATGGTTACTTTGCTGTTTGTTTGGCCACAGAAGCCTGATCAAATGATGCTGAGATGAAACTACTGCTGCTTAGTATTGTTGATTTGGCCTTATTGCAGTTCTTTGTTTAGCAAAAGAGGTATTTTTTCTAGTTGCTAGCTGCTTTATCTCCTGTCCTTTTGCTTGACCTACTGCCTACAATCACGTATCTACATGCATGTATACAAGCATACCTTGTACGTAATT